CTCAAAAAGAAATAATTAAATAATTTTTATTAAAATACAAATTAAGTCTGCTTTTTTTTTAATGAAAATCGTTTGATTTTAATCAACCACAAGATTGTAATCACCTCAAAAGTAATTTGAAATAAAAATTGAAATTTAAAACAACATTAAAACAGCTTATTTATCTTTCGATAAAAATTTAAATAAAAAAAACAATTGGACAGAACCCTTAAAGACTTACTATATACTTACCCCTGATAAACAAATTATGATGAGCTTTAAATATTGCGAAATATTTAAAAATAACAAACCAGTTTACATTAAAAGTTTTTTTAATTCCTTATTGGTATACTTATAAAATTTAAATACAAGAAATAGTTGGTTAGAACTATCAAAAACTTACAGTATAAGAAACCATTTTTTAGTGAAAGACTCTTGATAAACAAATTGCGACATATTTTAAATATTGTAAAATATACCAAAATAGCGGTTAAGCGTACGTTAAAAACTTTATTTTGTTGTCGGTTGTTATTCAAGTTTTAGCAGAACTACATATAAATTAGAAATCGAGAAAAGATATATTTGCACTAAATTGTTTCTACTGTCCGCTATGTGGCGCTGTAAGTATTAAATTGGCAAGGAAATTTGGAAAAACTAAAGAAAAGCGTAATTTCTCCTTCCAAAACTCTTTCTTTTCTTTTACGAAAAATTCAAATTATACAAAATACTTCGGCTAAAGTTTGGTCTACACAGTTAGATATATAGTTAAATATCTGTATATACATTAAATCTGTTGATTAATACGATATAGAGATACATAAATGAATGTGTGAAGTTAATACTTTTTTTTCCAACATTTCTTAAACAAGGAAAAAAAAAATATATATAAATTTCTATACTTCAAGATATTTTAGTTTTCCACTTGAACCAGTCATGTGTTGGCTACTCAAACTTTAAGGTCAGTTGCACTATCTTATATTGGTAATATAATTAAAAACGGAACAAGCTATTTTTGTCATTTATTCATTTCCTTTTATTTTAGATAATTTAACAATCAAAAGCATGATGTTTTGACAAGGATCGCAAAGCTTTGGTGAAAATTGGGAAATTGAAGATTGAAGGAAACGTCCCTCAATTTTCAATTTCCCAATTTTCAAGAATCCTTTTTAATGAAAAGACTTTTAAGTTCTTCAAAGCTTTTAGTGTTAAGAAGGAGTGGAGTGATTAATATTTACTGTGTTAAGAACTATGATTTAAGTTCGCTTTGGATGGAAAGAGCGATTAATTACTAACTTTGGTAGCAATTAGTAATTGTGGATCTCCTTTTATAGGAAAATTAAGGAAATTGTATCTATACTGTAAAATACAATTACTTATTTCTTTTCAACATTTAAAATAATACAGAAGTTTAAACATTTTGCCCTGTTCCGATTTCAATATTAACCCAAAAAATTGTCTAAGTATATGTCATCTATTGTTTATTATGTACCTAGGGATACTCATCTGAAGTTAAAGAAAAATAAAGATTACAATGACAGATTCCATTAGGTACTTAGCGTGATGTATGAGCTTTTACGAAGGCGTTTCTCTCAGTTCCCTTATTGTNAATTAATAATCACTTTATTTTAATAAAATATTTCAAATAGGCACATATACGTTATAAATTAATGACCTGTTATTGAACATTTTGGTGGAGGTGCCGGGTGCACTTTTTGTAGGTAAACCACAAAATTAAAATTTATTACAGTTAATTGGTATGATGTTATTATTAACACATAATAATTGTTTAACGTTTCGATATTGTTTTGTAGACATTCTTTCAGTGCAAGTTTCTTCTATTACCGTTCTTTTTGACTATTTTTATTTAATTCAATACAAAGATACAGCTTTGAGGAAGCTTATGTTGAACAATAATTAATTCTTTATTTGATAGTGTCAAATTTATTTCTTCATCCCAAATAATTTCATATCCATACACTAATAAAGCTTCTTCTGTAGAATGTTACTTGATTATGTTTAAATAACAATTTTCCTTATGTATACCAGAAATTTTCCTTATATACACCAGAAATTCTAGAAATATAAATATTATTTATTAATACCAGAAGCTTCAAATATATGTATATAGTTTACTCTTAAAATTAATCTAAAATTGAAAGTTAGATGAAGGTTTTTTAGAAATACTTATGAAAATTTTTTGTTTACATGATAAACTTAAATGTCTTATGGTATATTTTGTTTTACTTAAATGCGACTATTAAGTACTACTGTGTACATCAGTATTAAAATTTTAAGAAAAAGGGTAGGATAGCAAGAAGGGTGAGGAAGATTATATAAATAAAACAAGTGAAAATAGGGTTTAAGTTTCAAAGGAAAGGAGAAAGGGAAAAAAGCACTTTTGTAGTATTTTCTGTAGTAAATAATATTGGAAATTGTGTGAAGGTTTTAGAAATAGGAAGGATGTTTCCATGTGTATCATAAGCGCTTTCGGTGTATTTTGATGAATGTATAACTTCTTTGTTAAATAAATACTATTCTTACTTTATTCCTAAAATAATATCAGTAGCTAACCATTTTTTAATGGTACGCTCTTTTCACAAAGTTATAATTATTCTTTGGTACTCATTATCATCCTGAGTAGATGTAGAGTTAGTGGTCACACTGATTAAAATGTTAATAATAATGTTATAATTTAAATTTACATAGCAAACAATGAAAGGAAAAGACCATCACAACTCTCCAAAGAATCCTAGGTTTTCTTAGAAATATGTGTGGGCGCAGAATATTAATGGAACACAAGCTTATCATTTAGAAAAAGACAGCGGGCATTCCTCGCCAAAAATTTCTTGAAGACATTTCTGATATCTGACAAATCTGAGTATATTATGGGCTGTTGGATCAAAAAATAAAGACGAATTCTGCAATTATTATCTATAAATGGCGTCGACCGTACTATAAATCCGTTGGAGCGATTTCTTCTTCTGTCAATGATTTCAAATTGTGGTTTCCTTTGGTCTATGCTAAGGCATTGTCTTTGTTTATTATTGCAATTACCCATATGAAATCAGGTCTCACCTATGGTGATGAAGCATCTCATTCGATGAACTTGTTACTTCCCTCTTCAGTGATAATATTTGATATTCTTTTGATGGTTCTTCATCGTTTTGCTGCCTGTAACATTTTGAGTTGGTGGGCTACTATTGAGATCGTCAAGCTTGAACGGTATTATAAATGGATTTTGTGGACTTTTTTCTTGATTTGTTTAGTCTTGTATTGAAAATTCGTATTTTAATAATTTTAGTGTATCTGATATCTAACATTAATCGTGAAAACGTTTTTCTGCCTTCCCTTTTAGCCTTCAGAGCTGCCAATATTTGTTACCTCAATATTTTCTACAATTATTGCAAATTTTTACCATTCGTGTCAAATGAACAAACATTGTGATTAGAATATGATACGATAAACTGAAATAATACAAATTGAAATTGATTTTTTATCAAATCTTTGAAATGCATCCAATTATCAATTAAACAAATTTTAATATTTTGTTATTTCTTTTTCAGGCTTTAGAAAAGAATGAATGAATTCTAACGCTATTGANATTTGGTCCTCTTGTAGGTGAAATTTATGCCAAAGATGCAGTACCGAGTTCTGCAAACAGGAAGTATTTTTGGAGGGTAGGTATTTTTGTTAAACACAACGGAAACTATGAATGATTTGTTGTATTTCACGCTAGTTTATAGGGCAATCTTTAGATACTAATAAAATTATATTGGAAGTTTCAATTGTTTAGGGAGGTTCCTATAAAGCCTTTTTGTATGAAAGAATTACAATGATTAAGGTTAAGGTTAAGGTGTTGCATGAATCTCCTCAAACTAAGTACCTTTACTAATTATAATAAATTGTCTTTTCCACTTCATCAAACCTCCTACCTAAGAAATTCTATTACTGGTTATCATATTATTTTGGGATTGTCAGTCCCATGACTGGACTTTCACTCCCTCCTATTCCAAGCCTGCTACTGTCCCTTTTTACCCCTGTTTCTAGTCCTTCAAGCCTTATAAGGTATCCTTCATGTCTCCTTCTGTGGATTGACTTCCATAGCACCCGTTATTTCTTATTTTTATCATTTTACGTTTCGTACTAGTTTCATTATTTAATGATACACTTTCCTACACATTCCAATGATAAAATTTCAATCCAATTTTGTCAAATGCCAATTTTGATTTGGTGGATACTGAAGGTTATTGCTTTTGCAATGAATAGGCCACCGCCGTAGATAAGATAAAAAAAGGCATTGCTGATGTAGTAATATGCGATGTCTAACTTTGGCTTTTTGAAACCTCCATCAGTATGACTTATGATAACACCTACAATATAGAATATTGTAGTTTTTGAGACTATTAGAATCATTCAATAACACATGCGAAATTAAAAATCATGGTGTGCCTGAAGCGTCACGATTATTAAGAAATCCCGTCATTTACTAATTACTTTGTTTTTATATCCTTTGCAGATATACAAAGACAATGAATTATTTTACTACATTGACGGGTACGATACCTCGAAGGCCAACTGGATGCGATACGTGAACCCGGCATACTCTAGTGAATCTCAAAATCTCATAGCGTGTCAGTACAAAATGAACATATATTTTTACACGATTAAACCAATTTTGCCAAATCAGGAATTACTTGTGTGGTATTGTAAGGAATTTGCCGAAAGACTGAATTATCCGTTGACTGGAGAACAAATGCTACAAAGGATACGTAAGTCTAAATGCAAGTTTAGAAAATAATTATTTCTTGGTAAAATATAAAAAATTGAACTGTATCAAATATTAATGTGAACATTCATTTTCTGTTTATATAAACTATAAATTACCTCAAGTTGATGAGAAAAATTTCTGTACATTTGTGACGAAGATTAAAAAAAAAGGGTAGGATAGCAAGAAGGGTGAGGAAGATTATATAAATAAAACAAGTGAAAATAGGGTTTAAGTTTCAAAGGAAAGGAGAAAGGGAAAAAAGCACTTTTGTAGTATTTTCTGTAGTAAATAATATTGGAAATTGTGTGAAGGTTTTAGAAATAGGAAGGATGTTTCCATGTGTATCATAAGCGCTTTCGGTGTATTTTGATGAATGTATAACTTCTTTGTTAAATAAATACTATTCTTACTTTATTCCTAAAATAATATCAGTAGCTAACCATTTTTTAATGGTACGCTCTTTTCACAAAGTTATAATTATTCTTTGGTACTCATTATCATCCTGAGTAGATGTAGAGTTAGTGGTCACACTGATTAAAATGTTAATAATAATGTTATAATTTAAATTTACATAGGAAACAATCAATTTATTGTTGCTTCAGGATAACATGGATGATGCGGCAGTCACGTCTGCCGGCGATTTTGATCCGCACAATATTAGGGAAGAGGAGTTCGAGCTTCATACAACATTCATTGCGCCAGACCTTCCGGTGGACCCTGGCACACCCAACAGGGCTGAAGCTACCCTTCCAAGGAATCTTGTTCTCAAACCCTCTCAAGCGCTTTCAGATGTAAGTGACGTAATTCTTTTGAAACAACCACATGGATATTCATTTTAAATTATTTCATTGATTAACGACTGTTTTCACAATTAACATTTACCTGAAAAGTTGACAAGTTCAGTCAACGAAAAGTCATAAAAAGAAAACGTAAACACCTTGTATTTAGGTATTTTTCCGAAAATTTTATTCTGTGTACCCTGAAATTTATTAACTTTTTAGTTGTTTAATAATAATAAATTAAAATAATATATTCATACATATTGTTACGTATGTACTTGGAAATATTAAGTTTGCATAATTAATGTAAAACATCATAAATAAATTCATTAGTGGTTAAAAAAAGCGCAGAAAAAAAGACGGATACTATTAATAGCAACCAAATGGTTATTAGGCGCTATTGCAATGGTTAAATGTTGTCAGTTACTATCACATGTCCAGAGAACAATTCATCATTGAATTAAAGAGAATTATGCGGAAATGTGATGTGTTTTTATAAAAAAACGTGTCTTGTGATTAAATTAAAATAAAATAAAGAAAAAAGAGAAAGGAATAGTGAATCTTCAGGAAATGTTTAATATCTTCCTATTTTGTTATTCTCATTTTTATTCAACTCTTCTCTATTGCGAAGGTCTCATTGTGTTTTCGTTTCTTCCTATTTATTTAATTGTGCTACAGAAATAGATTCTTTGTTTAATTATTTAAGTATGGATATTTACCACCAGTAAAACATTAATAATTTATTAAGCGCTTCCCTTTTCCTAGTCCCGAGTGTTTTATTCGGTTTTAATTTAAAGACTTTTGTTGCAGGCTCAAGGGGTTTGGAGTACGGGTTACATTCCTAGAGGCACCAGATTTGGTCCTCTTGTAGGTGAAATTTATGCCAAAGATGCAGTACCGAGTTCTGCAAACAGGAAGTATTTTTGGAGGGTAGGTATTTTTGTTAAACACAACGGAAACTATGAATGATTTGTTGTATTTCACGCTAGTTTATAGGGCAATCTTTAGATACTAATAAAATTATATTGGAAGTTTCAATTGTTTAGGGAGGTTCCTATAAAGCCTTTTTGTATGAAAGAATTACAATGATTAAGGTTAAGGTTAAGGTGTTGCATGAATCTCCTCAAACTAAGTACCTTTACTAATTATAATAAATTGTCTTTTCCACTTCATCAAACCTCCTACCTAAGAAATTCTATTACTGGTTATCATATTATTTTGGGATTGTCAGTCCCATGACTGGACTTTCACTCCCTCCTATTCCAAGCCTGCTACTGTCCCTTTTTACCCCTGTTTCTAGTCCTTCAAGCCTTATAAGGTATCCTTCATGTCTCCTTCTGTGGATTGACTTCCATAGCACCCGTTATTTCTTATTTTTATCATTTTACGTTTCGTACTAGTTTCATTATTTAATGATACACTTTCCTACACATTCCAATGATAAAATTTCAATCCAATTTTGTCAAATGCCAATTTTGATTTGGTGGATACTGAAGGTTATTGCTTTTGCAATGAATAGGCCACCGCCGTAGATAAGATAAAAAAAGGCATTGCTGATGTAGTAATATGCGATGCATGGTGTGCCTGAAGCGTCACGATTATTAAGAAATCCCGTCATTTACTAATTACTTTGTTTTTATATCCTTTGCAGATATACAAAGACAATGAATTATTTTACTACATTGACGGGTACGATACCTCGAAGGCCAACTGGATGCGATACGTGAACCCGGCATACTCTAGTGAATCTCAAAATCTCATAGCGTGTCAGTACAAAATGAACATATATTTTTACACGATTAAACCAATTTTGCCAAATCAGGAATTACTTGTGTGGTATTGTAAGGAATTTGCCGAAAGACTGAATTATCCGTTGACTGGAGAACAAATGCTACAAAGGATACGTAAGTCTAAATGCAAGTTTAGAAAATAATTATTTCTTGGTAAAATATAAAAAATTGAACTGTATCAAATATTAATGTGAACATTCATTTTCTGTTTATATAAACTATAAATTACCTCAAGTTGATGAGAAAAATTTCTGTACATTTGTGACGAAGATTAAAAAATATTTGAGTAATGAGCAAAATCTTATCTAAACATTCGTTAAATGTAAATAACTGCCAAGAAGATTGAAATTTAATTCATGGGATCAAAATCAAAGACTAGACCACCTCTGCAAGACTAAATCACGATTAAGATTAAACTGAAAGAGTCTTGCGCATTCCAAAACTTTTCTGTCTTTACAAGAAAACAAGTACTTAAAGTTCTTTTCTGTAATAATTGTAATGATATTCAATCGGCGCATTCTATCAAAAATTATTAGCTTGCACTAAATTCCCAGCATTAATATTTGCCTATTAATCTTAGATTGAAAAGTTTGAAGATAATCTATGGGGATTGTCCTGATATTTGTGGTACAAATGATAGTATTTGCAGGTCAACAAGTCCAGCAATCATCAGAAGTAATCACTGTCAGCACTGTGATTGACTCCGTTTCTTCCGGGAAAGACGGTGCCTACGAACACCAACTCACTCCAACAGATGGCAGCGTGAGATCTGACGAAGGGTATCACAGCCATGGCTATCACGATGACGCTTTTACACCCCCTGAAGATTCCAGTGACTCGGACAGTGAAAATAATTATGTACTCGATTTTAGGTGAGTCGAAATCTTTGTCAAAGAAATTCTATTCTATTCTATTAATTCTATTTACTTTGATTTCCAGTAAGAAAACGAATTCCAAAGAAACGACGGTTATTAAACAGTCGCCCCTCTCCCCCGAAGCCCAGAAAAACGAGTACCGCAAGGTCAAGATTAAGATAACAAAAGCTTATCACTATAAATCGAACAAAAACGTGGAAAGCGACCATGAGTCGGAGAAGGATTTGACTCACGGCGATACTAACGTTGTGGAAGTGACGACTTTGGTACCGAGAATCGTCACACCCCCTAACACGGTGATAGTCCTAGACTCACCACCACCTGAAGTTCCTAATAACAAACCGTTCTACGAGCCCGAGGTAAAAACTCAGACAATTATTACTAGATACACGCCTCCTTCTTCAAGTATCTTGGAGAATATTCTATTGAGGAACAGGACTGATTCTAACAACAATAACAACGACAGTAACCAGCGACAACCGGATGCCACACCACCTCCAAGCTCTCCCACGGAAATGGCTTACTCGTACAAAAAGAGTCACCGGTACGGAGCCATGCCATGTAGTCCGGACTCGAGTTCCAACTTAGCAGTTTCCAATGCCCCAATGTCAACAAGCCCGGGTTTGTTAAAAAATCACTCCCCAAGTCCCGTACCATCTTCCGCAACAATATACGTATCACACACAAACGATGGTTACAACAACCACGTGCAACCTGCTAATTATTACAGCATCTATCCATCATCGAATGGAATAATCCACACCAACATAACAACGGCGACACCCACGTCTACGTATTCTCCCCCCATAAGTACCAACTACGTGGGATCCCATCATCCCACCTCAACGAACTTAATCATTCCAAGTTCCCACATAATCACGTCAAACTTGACACATCATCTTCTGACTCCATTGACACCGCCGCAACACGGAAACGGAAAGCTTTCACCTACTCATTCGATGAGTCCCGACAGGGGAATGAGTAGTCGGAGTGTCAGTCCTCAACATCCCAATTCGAGCATTGCTTCGAGGGGTTATAGGAGCCTCCCTTATCCTTTAAAAAAGAAAGACGGAAAAATGCACTACGAATGCAACGTGTGCTGCAAAACGTTCGGTCAGCTTTCCAATTTGAAAGTTCACCTGAGAACTCACAGCGGAGAGAGACCGTTCAAATGCAACGTCTGCACCAAATCGTTCACTCAACTTGCTCATCTCCAAAAGCACCATTTGGTGCACACCGGAGAACGACCACACGAGTGCGGCATTTGTAAGAAGCGATTTTCGTCTACGTCGAACCTGAAGACGCATCTTCGGTTGCACAGCGGACAGAAGCCGTACGCGTGCGACTTCTGTCCAGCGAAGTTCACTCAGTTTGTACATTTGAAATTACACAAAAGACTACACACCAATGAGAGACCGTACATTTGCCAAGAGTGCGGAAAGAATTACATTAGTGCTTCTGGATTAAGGACCCATTGGAAGACGACCAGTTGCCGACCAAATAACATCGACGAGGAGCTCCATGGGGAAACTTCTCCAAATGGTTATTACGATTACTCGAGTAATGATGGAAGCATAGGTAAGGATACTTAAATATATACATATCTTTCCATTTTGGAAGAATAATATTATTTATTGACGGATGAATGCCACAAGGACACTATTTATCAATAATTTTGTCGTTAATAAAATTTAACAAGGAATGAGATTATTGTAGAGAACATTGTAGAATTTCAGTGTCTAATGACACAACAAAAACTACACCGTTAATAGTGATCAACATCATCGTCACTATCATAAGGTCATCAGTCTTAAGACTGGTTGGACACGCACCTTCGCTTTTTCCTATCCTGAGATAATCTTCGCATCTCCATAAACCATCCTTAACTATTTATTAACAATAACCTAATCTATAATGTGGACGATCAAAACTGGCAAAGTCCGTAGTAAATTATCTCTGAGAATAGACGTATCTTCTTTCTTGTTTCCACTTGGGAATTTAGTCATTTGCTACGTTTTGAACACGCTCTTGTTAAGTTAGGAACTCCTTCATGAGTAGTACAGACAAAGTGAAAAGAGATAACCTAATAAAAGTAAATGGTGCAGAGGACACGCAAAAGATCAGGGTCGGCTTTATAACTGCCTGCTTGGAATTATATCTTTAAACTTTCTTTAAAGTCCATTGCTGGCAAAATGCTCAAAAATTGCTTGCCTGCATCTCTTTCTGTTACTTATCAATTGGTGTAATGTTATTCCTTTTTCTTCATTAGTGTCCGCTGCAATTTATACCTGCCATCTCTTTTCTATGTTTACGATATTCGCTACGTCTGTCGTAAGCAAAAGTAGGCGTTCTGTAAGCAACCGCTCTAGTCTATATAGTAAGTTGAAAGAAGAAAGTAAATGCGACAGTTTTATTGCGGACTATACCAATATTGAACGTCGCAACTATAGCTCTACCTGTACTCCTCTTAACTCCTGTTTCTGCTTCTAATATATCTGTGACTAGCCCTTCATGCCTGAGAAGTGTCCTTCCAACCGATCACGCTTATTTCTAATCGACTGATTTTAGAATACATTCTCATTTCTAACCTCCTCTATCAACGATATCATTATCATTCGCTGATAGTGATAACGTATAAAAGTTTTCCCTTATTTTCAGGTCCAGTTGATTCAAGCAAAGACATTCACGAAGACCAAAGGGATCATTTCGAGCTTCATGCTCAACAGTCTCCTCCAATGACTCACGGAGGAGGACTGATGCACTCGGGATTGACCAAGTCTCTGACGCCGTCAACGTTACAAACAGGGCCTCAACGGCTTCCTCCTCAAACGTCGCATCATCCCGGCAAAGAGAGTAGGCCAAGCGTCATAGAATCGTCACAACCTCACATTATCGAATGTACCTAAGAAATTCCTGCTGTGTAAATTCTATTCTGTTAAGTTTTAAATGTTTATTTATTTGTAATTATTTAGCGGTTAGTTAGTTGTTGCCGTTTCAACAAATTACATGTCTATTTTTGACGTGAGGTATATTTTTATTATTATCATCGGAAGTACTGATTAGAAAAGAGTTGATTTGTTGAAGCCAACGGATTCGTAGACGATTTAATTTATTTGTAACTATTTTTTTAACGTGTACCTACCTATTGAATAAGAAATCGAATTTTGACTTTAGACTGATTACAGAAAGCAATATGTTAGATGTGTGTGTATATTGTGTTTTGAACACTGTTTGTTGTTCGTGTTCGATATTATTGCTACTTTTCGATTGTGTAATTCGTAAAGACAAAAAAATGCGAAATTATTCTTATTACAAAGCATTTTTTAAAACTATTTTATCGTTTCAATTATTTAGAAAGGGAATCAAAAAGAAACCAATTGGGTGACTAAAAACGGTAACATCCTACTCTGAAGAATTTGTATCAAATTTTCTAATCGTTTCGAATTTATTTTGTGTAGATAATTGCCGTTTGTTTATAATGTGAATGCTTTGTATTTAAGAATATTTGCTGTTTTAAAAGTGTACAAATGCTTTCTACCTATTATATGTAATATGCTGAAAAAAACATTAAGCTAAACATTCTATTCAATGTACCTATTTCAATGAATCGAGGGTAATATTGACGCTACGCTTACATTCAGAAAAAAAAAAGAAGAAGAGAATAGGTGAATATTTTTTGGCAACTTTGATATTGCTCTTGAACAAGTCTGTTAATTATTCGTAAATGTACTAGCATGACGGTGTTTATAGAGAAAAAACAGCAGAGCATTTCTTTTCAAAATTGCGTACTCTCTAAAGTTAATTTCTGTTAATGTGTTTTAAAAATGAACAACTTTACGCATTATTAGATACCTATAACAACATATATACTTACATAAAATACATACAAAGAAAATTGACGCAAAAAAGGTCTCAATAGCAAAGATATTTTTTCAACTGCATAAAGATACGTAAAAAATAATAATTGTTACGTATGTAATAATAATTTAGGTACCTACAAGCTTGGCCTTCTTCATTTTTAATGAACGAATTCAAAATATATTTTGGGTCTATATTTTCAATGGTGACAAGTATATAACGTTTATTATTTTGGTATGTACTGTGTACAACGAGTTAATTTGCTGGTTTTCTACCCGAACAATAGTTACAAGAACAACCCCCTCTACAGATTTTTATAAAGCGACGTAGAAAATAATGAAATACATAATACATAAATACATACATTACATACATGCATTCAAATGTACCGTACCTGCTGTATTCTTTTTTTTTTTTGTTATTTCCGGTTTGTAGGCTTAACGAAAATATGTATTAATTTATTAGTTTCTTTTTCTANAAGCTTTGGTGAAAATTGGGAAATTGAAGATTGAGGGAAACGTCCCTTTTTAATGAAAAGACTTTTTTAAGTTCTTCAAAGCTTTTAGTGTTAAGAAGGAGTGGAGTGATTAATATTTACTGTGTTAAGAACTATGATTTAAGTTCGCTTTGAATGAAAAGGTCGTTTAATTACTACCTTTGGTAGCAATTAGTAATTGTGGATCTCCTTTTATAGGAAAATTAAGGAAATTGTATCTATACTGTAAAATACAATTACTTATTTCTTTTCAACATTTAAAATAATACAGAAGTTTAAACATTTTGCCCTGTTCCGATTTCAATATTAACCCAAAAAATTGTCTAGGTATATGTCATCTATTGTTTATTATGTACCTAGGGATACTCATCTAAAGTTAAAGAAAAATAATGATTACAATGACAGATTCCATTAGGTACTTAGCGTGATGTATGAGCTTTTACGAAGGCGTTTCTCTCGGTTCCCTTATTGTATAGGTAGACATATGTAACAATGATCAATCAATAATGAAATTCTGAATCGACAATCTCTGAGTCAGCAATTAAATATTGTTCATGAGAGACAGCTCCCATTGGGCACCTTCTCCCCCAACTGTAAAGGCACGATTGGTTCGCAAAAAAGAGGGTAAACTTTCCCCCTGTTTTTTAACTATTTTACTGGCCCAATGCGATTCTCTTGTTAGCTCCAAATTACAAACAACAATCGCCTTTCGACACTTGTTCAAATCAAATTTTAGATTTCGATCGGCTGATGGTACCTAATCGTTATATATGGAAAAACTTAAATCCCTTTCAAACAGTTATTTTAAGAATTTTTTGGGTTCATATTAAAATTATTATTTGAAGCAAATAAATATTATTTGAAATAATTATTATTTCCCGTCGTTCAGTCAGGTTCGATTCTTGGATTCATACAAAAATCCTACAGAAGAAAACATTTTCAGTTTTTCGCGAATTTTGCGATTTTCAAATATTTGAATAGTTAAATATGTGATTTTGAAATTTAGATATTTAAATATTTGATTTATTTAATATTTGACTGTTTAACGTTAGTCTATTGGTTGTTGTAAGCGATAATTAATTGAGATTCAATTTTTTATTCTCGTGGGGTGTCAATAATTTTAGCTTCAATGATAAAACGAACTTTTGTGTTTGAAAAAAGTTTAGCTCAATCCTTTCGTGATCTCCACGGATTAGCAGGATTTCGCAATTTCAAGAACACTGCTATAGGGGACATACATTTATTTGTATTCTTTTAACCTTTCGGTTAAGTAAAATTGTGGACAAGTCCAATTTAGGGTCTAAAAATAGCCAATTATTATTATTGACAGTCCCTTGGCAAGCAAGCGAATGGCAAATATTTTCTCATTCCATTTTGTCACGTGCCCATTTTTTTTGCTTTACTTGCAAAAAACGAGAAAACGAATGGCCCAGGGGGCAGCGGTCAGATGCATATAAAATTACACAAAAGATTTTTTGTACACATATACTTAGCAGGAGATAAAAACTTTTTTGTGCCCTGGTCAATATAAGGGCTAATCCTCCCTTTCATAAGCCGCCTTCTTTTTTTTTATTAATTCACAAAGCTGAATATCGAAACAGAATTGAAGCAAATTGTGTTTGACATTTAACAAAAGGACTCACGATGAAATGCATTGTAGATTGTAACTAATAATTGAAATTGGGTATCAAAATGACACATAATAAACGATAGAATAATAAGGTTGAGCATTTCGGAATACTAATGATGCTATATAGACGGTAGGATATCAATAAATTATTGTGTTTAGCAATACTACAGTTGAATATTTGCTCAGATTCTTATAAGGCCCTTAGATAAATGTGCAAAAGGTCAAAATAACACTTTTAGTATTTAAAAAAAAAAAAAAAACAATTTTTAAACCTGCAAAACTACGTATTTCATATCACTACACAACGAAATTTTCTACCGGAAAAAATATGTAGTACAAAAACTTTACAAAATAATAACTCCAACTTTTATTTCTACAGTCATTAAAATTGAAAAACTCACCGTTTATAAATTAGATGTCTGTGCTGCATTTTCAAATTTCACCTGTAAAAGAATACAGTAAGAATTCAACAAAGGGACATTCAACAATCGTAAAAATAATTTCTTAATTCGAACGTCTGTTATTAAAAACTCATAGAACTAGTAAAATTGCAATAAAAAATAATAAAGAAAGAAAGACATTGTAAGTAACTAATTCCTTAAGGTATTCTAACTGTTTCTTAAATGACAATTGATTTACTAATTGTTCTTTAGTAAATGTAATTTTTTTGTTTATTCTAAATTTCTTTCCCTTAGTTTGAATATGAATAAGCAAAGAATCTAGACACTTAAGGGTTGAAAAGTTTATATTTGTGTGTAGAACCACCATCGACGTTTCGGCTTTAATAATTGAAAAACTTTATCTTATCTTTATGCTTTATCTTTACCTGCCTTGATACAGTTCCCAATTAGAGGCGAAACGTCGGTAGTGTTGCCCAAATTCAGTCTTGGTCTTGCAGTCTTGGTCTTGNTTATTATTATTGACAGTCCCTTGGCAAGCAAGCGAATGGCAAATATTTTCTCATTCCATTTTGTCACGTGCCCATTTTTTTTGCTTTACTTGCAAAAAACGAGAAAACGAATGGCCCAGGGGGCAGCGGTCAGATGCATATAAAATTACACAAAAGATTTTTTGTACACATATACTTAGCAGGAGATAAAAACTTTTTTGTGCCCTGGTCAATATAAGGGCTAATCCTCCCTTTCATAAGCCGCCTTCTTTTTTTTTATTAATTCACAAAGCTGAATATCGAAACAGAATTGAAGCAAATTGTGTTTGACATTTAACAAAAGGACTCACGATGAAATGCATTGTAGATTGTAACTAATAATTGAAATTGTGTATCAAAATGACACATAATAAACGATAGAATAATAAGGTTGAGCATTTCGGAATACTAATGATGCTATATAGACGGTAGGATATCAATAAATTATTGTGTTTAGCAATACTACAGTTGAATATTTGCTCAGATTCTTATAAGGCCCTTAGATAAATGTGCAAAAGGTCAAAATAACACTTTTAGTATTTAAAAAAAAAAAAAAAATTTTTAAACCTGCAAAACTACGTATTTCATATCACTACACAACGAAATTTTCTACCGGAAAAAATATGTAGTACAAAAACTTTACAAAATAATAACTCCAACTTTTATTTCTACAGTCATTAAAATTGAAAAACTCACCGTTTATAAATTAGATGTCTGTGCTGCATTTTCAAATTTCACCTGTAAAAGAATACAGTAAGAATTCAACAAAGGGACATTCAACAATCGTAAAAATAATTTCTTAATTCGAACGTCTGTTATTAAAAACTCATAGAACTAGTAAAATTGCAATAAAAAATAATAAAGAAAGAAAGACATTGTAAGTAACTAATTCCTTAAGGTATTCTAACTGTTTCTTAAATGACAATTGATTTACTAATTGTTCTTTAGTAAATGTAATTTTTTTGTTTATTCTAAATTTCTTTCCCTTAGTTTGAATATGAATAAGCAAAGAATCTAGACACTTAAGGGTTGAAAAGTTTATATTTGTGTGTAGAACCACCATCGACGTTTCGGCTTTAATAATTGAAAAACTTTATCTTATCTTTATGCTTTATCTTTACCTGCCTTGATACAGTTCCCAATTAGAGGCGAAACGTCGGTAGTGTTGCCCAAATTCAGTCTTGGTCTTGCAGTCTTGGTCTTGTTCTTGCGTTTTTGCAAGACCAAGACCAAGAACAAGACCGCGTATTTTTAGCAAGACCAAGACCAAGACTGGGAGCGCAAGACCAAGACCAAGACCAAGACCAGGTGTATTGGCGCAAGACCAAGACCAAGACTGGCTAAGTCTCGTCTTGTTCTTGCGTTTGGGCAACACTAAACGTCGGTATTGGTTCTACATATATAGAAGCCTTACAACCCTTAACTGCTTAGATTATCTGCTTATTCAATTTCTTTGTTATATTTAATTATAAAACACTAGGTACTACAAAAACAGACAATAATATTGAGTCTGAGCTTTATTATGGGTATCAGTTTTTATGTATTTTACAAACTGCTCAATTTCCTATTTGGTTGTTTATTCAATATCTAGTGGTATTTCACCAAACTACTTCTAAGGTAGTCCTTTGTATGTTTTTAAGATCATATTTCATCAGAATTGCAAATAAATCCATCATAATCTTTTGACATATTGCTAATGGTAGAAACATCTTTAAGTTTGACTTCTGAAAATCGTATTCATCTTTACACAATGGCTTTCTACCTAATTCGTACAAGAAGGGAAAGCCGCTTTCTTCGACACTGTATGACTCTTTTGAATTGTCAACGAGAATTAAACGTTTATAACCATTTATCAAGAAAATAATTATTGAATTCATAGAATTCTTTACTTTATAAATTACATAAAATAATAAAATTAAACAAGGGAGTAGGTTTTAAAATTTCTGGTGATGAAAATTTAACACAATTATGGTAGGTTTTGCGTAAATTAAGGATTCTACAGTGATTTTATTCAATTAAGGCATCTACTGTTCTGTTTTTAATGCTTTTTAACGACAATTTCTAGCTTTATATCGACAATGAGCACACTTACTAATTTTATCTTTCAAGAGGAAAAGCCTGTTTTTATCCATCCGGTAAACGATATTGGATATATTTACATGGAATCTATTTTTAATTTACAGGAAGGCTAAATAAAATTCTAGAAAACATTGTTTCTGTCTCTTGATCAAAGAGAATAACGTTTTTATTAATTAAGCAGGACAAAAATATAATTTTTAACACTTTCAAAAATAGGGCTGTGTTTTTTAGCCCAACGCCATGTTTAACGAAGGTATATGTATTTTTTGGTGATATAATTAATGTCGTGTCCATTTCACATTGAAAGCCGGAATGAA